CTTTTGGTATCCAAGACAGCCTGAATTCTCCGGGAAGGTGACAAATATAGGTCTTGGATGGTGGATTATGGAATCTGATACCACTCTAGGTGCAAAAATCATTCCAGTCCTCAGAGAGATACTAGAGGCGGAAAACGAGCACGAACCTTGTTCTCCAAAATTGACCATAGTGGCTCTATGATATTGGGGTTTGGCCACTGTGGGGCTCAGGAAGGTGCAAGACTTTGTCTGCACACTCATCAAACCATGATTTAATAACACCAGCTGTGTGGATCAGAGCATTATCTTCTTGGTAAATGCCACTGTCTGCACCATGGGGTGCACATGGTTGGACAAAATTTGTACATAATCACTGGCAATGACTACCTTTCAAGGTGATGATGGAGCCTGCAGAATCTCAAGATGTGGCTACCCAAACCATGATTGCGCCACCACCGTTGGCACACCAGTGTAAGGGACAGTGTTTGCCACACGTAAACAAATCCAGTGGTTTGGAACAGTGTGAAGCTCGATTTGTCATACCATATTACAGTCTTCCATTGATTGATAGTCCCAAGATTTAAGGGTGTTATACCATTCTCTCCTCTTCTGAGCATTAATATCAGTCACTAGTGGTTTGGCAATTGCAGCTCACCCGTGAATGCTCCCTTTTGCAACAGTTGTTTTCTTATTCTTGGTTGCAATCCTGGGCAATGTCCTTTTGACCATGACAACCGCACTTATGCTTATCAGACGTTTTCCCAGAAACTGTATATGCCACCATAATTTGTGATACTGAACCTCCCGACATGGCATATAAATTGGCAACTTCAGTCACAGAGGCTCCAGCTAAGCGGGACCAACAATTTGCCCTCTTTGAAGCTCAGTAAGCTCTGACATGACTCTGTATTTACATGCAGTGAATGACAAAAGTGAGGCTTCCCACCTGTTATGATAGGTGTCTCATCACACAGCAGAAGCAAAAGAATGTTATATAGTTACATAGTTAGTCTGGCTGAAAAAAAGACAAAAGTCCATCCAGTTAACCCACAAAAAAAAAAAAAAAAGTTATAATCCTACACCCACAGTTGATCCAGAGGAAGGCAAAACACAGCAAAGCATGAGCCAATTTGCTCCTGCAGGGAAAACATTCCTTCCTGATCTCCTGAGAAGCAATCGGATATTCCCGGGATCAACTTTACCTATAAATGTTAGTATCCAGTTATATTCTGTGTATCTAAGAAATAATCCAGGACTTCTTTGAAGCAATCCACTGAGCTGGCCAGAACCAACTCTTGAGGGAGTCTATTCCACATTTTCACAGCTCTTACTGTGAAGAAACCTTTTCATGTTTGGAGATCAAATGTCTTTTCCTCCAGACATAAAGAGTGCCCCCTTGTCCTCTGTGATGACCTCAGGGTGAATAGCTCTACACCGAGTTCACTATATGAACCACTGATGTATTTATACATGGAGATCATATCCCCCTTATGTATTATACATGGAGATCATATCCCCCCTTATGTATTATACATGGAGATCATATCCCCCCTTATGTATTATACATGGAGATCATACCCCCCCTTATGTATTATACATGTTGATCATATCCCCCCTTATGTATTATACATGGTGATCATATCCCCCCTTATGTATTATACATGGTGATCATATCCCCCCTTATGTATTATACATGGAGATCATATCCCCCCTTATATTATACATGGAGATCCCCCTTATGTATTATACATGGTGATCATATCCCCCCTTATGTATTATACATGGAGATCATATCCCCCCCCCCCTTATGTATTATACATGGAGATCATATCCCCCTTATGTATTATACATGGTGATCATATCCCCCTTATGTATTATACATGGAGATCATATCCCCCCTTATGTATTATACATGGAGATCATATCCCCCCTTATGTATTATACATGGTGATCATATCCCCCTTATGTATTATACATGGAGATCATATCCCCCTGATGTATTATACATGGAGATCATATCCCCCCCCCCTTATGTATTATACATGGAGATCATATCCCCCTTATGTATTATACATGGAGATCATATCCCCCTTATGTATTATACATGGTGATCATATCCCCCCTTATGTATTATACATGGAGATCATATCCCCCTTATGTATTATACATGGAGATCATATCCCCCTTATGTATTATACATGGTGATCATATCCCCCCTTATGTATTATACATGGAGATCATATCCCCCCTTATGTATAATACATGGAGATCATATCCCCCTTATGTATTATACATGGAGATCATATCCCCCCTTATGTATAATACATGGAGATCATATCCCCCTTATGTATTATACATGGTGATCATATCCCCCCTTATGTATTATACATGGTGATCATATATCCCCCCTTATGTATTATACATGGAGATCATATCCCCCTTATGTATTATACATGGAGATCATATCCCCCCTTATGTATTATACATGGAGATCATATCCCCCCTTATGTATAATACATGGAGATCATATCCCCCTTATGTATTATACATGGTGATCATATCCCCCCTTATGTATTATACATGGTGATCATATCCCCCCTTATGTATTATACATGGAGATCATATCCCCCCTTATGTATTATACATGGAGATCATATCTCCCTTATGTATTATACATGGAGATCATATCCCCCCCCCTTATGTATTATACATGGAGATCATATCCCCCTTATGTATTATACATGGAGATCATATCCCCCTTATGTATTATACATGGTGATCATATCCCCCCCTTATGTATTTATACATGGAGATCATATCCCCCCTTATGTATTATACATGGAGATCATATCCCCCTTATGTATTATACATGGAGATCATATCCCCCCTTATGTATTATACATGGAGATCATATCCCCCTTATGTATAATACATGGAGATCATATCCCCCTTAAGTATTATACATGGAGATCATATCCCCCCTTATGTATTATACATGGTGATCATATCCCCCCTTATGTATTATACATGGAGATCATATCCCCCTTATGTATAATACATGGAGATCATATCCCCCCTTATGTATTATACATGGAGATCATATCCCCCCTTATGTATTATACATGGAGATCATATCCCCCCTTATCTATTATACATGGTGATCATATCCCCCCTTATGTATTATACATGGAGATCATATCCCCCCTTATGTATTATACATGGAGATCATATCCCCCCTTATGTATTATACATGGTGATCATATCCCCCCTTATGTATTATACATGGAGATCATATCCCCCCCCCTTATGTATTATACATGGAGATCATATCCCCCCCTTATGTATTATACATGGTGATCATATCCCCCCCTTATGTATTATACATGGTGATCATATCCCCCTTATGTATTATACATGGAGATCATATCCCCCCTTATGTATTATACATGGAGATCATATCCCCCCCTTATGTATTATACATGGTGATCATATCCCCCCTTATGTATTATACATGGAGATCATATCCCCCTTATGTATAATACATGGAGATCATATCCCCCCTTATGTATTATACATGGAGATCATATCCCCCCTTATGTATTATACATGGAGATCATATCCCCCCTTATCTATTATACATGGTGATCATATCCCCCCTTATGTATTATACATGGAGATCATATCCCCCCTTATGTATTATACATGGAGATCATATCCCCCCTTATGTATTATACATGGTGATCATATCCCCCCTTATGTATTATACATGGAGATCATATCCCCCCCCCCCTTATGTATTATACATGGAGATCATATCCCCCCCCTTATGTATTATACATGGTGATCATATCCCCCCCTTATGTATTATACATGGTGATCATATCCCCCTTATGTATTATACATGGAGATCATATCCCCCCTTATGTATTATACATGGAGATCATATCCCCCCTTATGTATTATACATGGAGATCATATCCCCCCTTTATGTATTATACATGGAGCTCATTTCCCCCTTTATGTATTATACATGGAGATCATCTCCTAGATTGTAAGCTCGAAAGAGCAGGGCCCTTGATCCCCTCATGTTTTGCATTGTATTGGTATTGTTCTGTCACATGTTCTGTCCCCCTTTGTAATGTACAGCGCTGAGCGAACTATTGGCGCTTTATAAATACTGTATAATAATAATAATAATATCCCCCCTTATGTATTATACATGGAGATCATATCCCCCCTTATGTATTATACATGGTGATCATATCCCCCCTTATGTATTATACATGGAGATCATATCCCCCCTTATGTATTATACATGGTGATCATATCCCCCCTTATGTATTATACATGGAGATCATATCCCCCCTTATGTATTATACATGGAGATCATATCCCCCCTTAATCTCCTCTTCTCAAGAGAGAATAAATTCAGTTCCTCTAATCTTTCCTCATAGCTGATCTCCTCCATGCCTCTTATCAGTTTGGTTGCCCTTCTCTGTACTTTCTCCAGTTCCCCAATGTTCTTTTTGTGAATTGGTGCCCAAAACTGAACTGCATATTCCAGATGAGGTCTTACTAATGATTTGTACCGGGGAAATGATATCTCTCTCTGGAGTCTATACCTCTTTTAATACAAGAGAGGATTTTGCTCGCTTTAGAAACCGCAGCTTGGCATTGCATGCCATTATTAAGCTTGTAATCTACCAGAACCCCCAGATCCTTCTCCTCCATTGATTCCCCCAGTTGTACCCCCCCCCCCCCAGTATGTATGATGCATATTCTTAGCCCCCAAGTGCAGAACCTTACATTGATCAACATTAAACCTCATTTCTCACATAGTTGCCCAATTACACAGAGCATTGAGGTCGGCTTGTAAATTGGAGGGTGGACATCCTGTAAGGACGTTATTCCACGGCAGAGCTTGGTGTCATCTGCAAAGACTGAAATGGGATTTATAATCTCAGACCCTATATTGTTTATAAATATATTAAAAAGTAAGGGTCCCAACACTGAACCTTGGGGTACACCACTGATGACCCAGGACCATTCAGAGTATGAATCATTAACCACTACTCTTTGAATACGATCTTTTAGCCAGTTTTCTATCCATTTACATACAGATTCCTCCAAGCCCGTAGACTTTACCTTACACATTAGCCGTGTAAGGACCACGTCCACCGCCACTCCTCTGTCCAAGTATAACCATGTCCACCGCCACCCCTCTGTCCAAGTATACCACGTCTACCGCCACCCCTCTGTCCAAGTATATCACATACACCGCCACCCCTCTGTCCAAGTATACCACGTCCACCGCCACTCCTCTGTCCAAGTATACCACGTCCACCGCCACCCCTCTGTCCAAGTATACCATGTCCACCGCCACCCCTCTGTCCAAGTATATCACGTCCACTGCCACCCCTCTCACATACACCGCCACCCCTCCAAGTATATCACATACACCGCGCCACCCCTCTGTCCAAGTATACCACATACACCGCCACCCCTCTGTCAAAGTATACCACGTCCACCGCCACCCCTCTGTCCAAGTATACCACGTCCACCTCCACCTCTCTGTCCAAGTATACCATGTCCACCGCCACCCCTCTGTCCAAGTATACCACGTCCACCGCCACCCCTCTGTGCAAGTATACCACGTCCACCGCCACCCCTCTGTCCAAGTATACCACGTCCACCGCCACCCCTCTGTCCAAGTATACCACGTCCACTGCCACCCCTCTGTCCAAGTATACCACGTCCACCCCCACCCCTCTGTCCAAGTATACCACGTCCACCGCCACCTCTCTGTTACATTCCTTCTTCTTTCAACACAAACCATGTCATCACTTTCACACCTAAAAAACCATGGAAACACTACATGATTTGCATCTCTCATAACTAGCGGACAGGGGAGTTTTACTAAATCAGACTTCACATATGAGAGATTTTGATAGTTTTCTTTTTTGGGCTTTTAAAACATTTTTTTTTATATAATGGATTGTTAGGGAATCATTTGCACACTCAGAGAGTAAAAAAAAGTAGTTTTTTTTAGCCGGAGCATGACAGAATGTTCTGCCACCTCCGGCACTGTCCCTGTGCTTGCTGCTCAACACTACTGTCGCTTGAAAACACAGAAGCCTGGCTTCTGTGTTTACAAGTGACAGCGCACCTCCCCTGGCGGCCGCACAGAGCCTTCTTTGTGCTGCATATCCCTATGACAGCAGAGGGAGCGGGGGATGTACACAGCCTCTTTAAGCCTTTGCCTGAAGCTCACACTCTCCATGCTTCTCCTGAGATAATTTGCAGCAGCCCTTCTCTCTGCTATTCTCAAAGAGGGGGAGCAGAGATGTGTACTTACAATGGGAACTATTTGAGATGTATGGGGAGAGCCATTTTTAGTTGTAAAGTGACTTGTGGTATAGGCACTCCTGAACCCTGCACTCTGCAGGTAGCGCGCTCCTGAACCCTGCACTCTGCAGGTAGCGCGCTCCTGAACCCTGCACTCTGCAGGTAGCGCGCTCCTGAACCCTGCACTCTGCAGGTAGCGCGCTCCTGAACCCTGAACTCTGCAGGTAGCACGCTCCTGAACCCTGAACTCTGTACGTAGCACGCTCCTGAACCCTGAACTCTGTACGTAGCACGCTCCTGAACCCTGAACTCTGTACGTAGCACGCTCCTGAACCCTGAACTCTGTACGTAGCACGCTCCTGAACCCTGAACTCTGTAGGTAGCACGCTCCTGAACCCTGCACTCTGTAGGTAGCACACTCCTGAACCCTGCACTCTGTACGTAGCACACTCCTGAACCCTGCACTCTGTACGTAGCACACTCCTGAACCCTGCACTCTGTACGTAGCACGCTCCTGAACCCTGCACTCTGTTAGGTAGCACACTCCTGAACCCTGCACTCTGTACGTAGCACACTCCTGAACCCTGCACTCTGTACGTAGCACACTCCTGAACCCTGCACTCTGTAGGTAGCACACTCCTGATCCCTGCACTCTGTGCCGTATGTAGGACACTCCTGAACTCTACAGTCTGTACATAACACACTCCGGAATCCTGCACAATAATAACGGTTAAAGGTCAGGGTCAAAGCATTTTTAAAATCAGTGTTATTACTATGGGTACAAACAACTAATGTGCACATATGTGGTATTGCTGTGATCATCAAGAGCTTGAGAATTTATTTTGGGTGCTCTTTGGTGGTAAGTTATGGTAATAACAAGAAATATACAGCTAGGTTAAAGAAAAAAATTTTTTTTTTCACTAATTTGGGCCAGTTTTCCTTTGTTAATTAAAAAAAATGTTACCATTTACCACCAAAAAAAAATCCAAATTGTCCTGAAAAAAGGTATAATCCACCTGGATACACAAAGTAGTTGTGATATGTACAGTTAAAGTGTTACTAAACCCACAGCAGTAAAATCAGTCTGTAGATGCAGTAAAGCATGCTTGTTATACTCACTGTGGGACCTAAGGGGTTAATACTCTGAATTGTGTAAAGAGCAGGGGCGGACTGACAACTCATGGGGCCCCCGGACAATAGGGGATCACGGGGCCCCTGTGTCCTTGCCCAAACTCAAAAAAGCCTATGAAAAAGGTACCAGGGGCATCTCATGGGGCCTATATATTAAGATAGTTATTTTAGAGGTTATTGAATAAATTAGCGTGTCACCCAATGTATGGTCTCCATTCAGTAGCCAAAAGAGGCATACAAAAAAGGGGGGGTTTGTGAAAAAGAGATTCACAAGAAAGCGGCTACATAGTGAACAGAACGTGACACACAGGAAAAATTTCCAAAAATTATACTTTATTACACATATAAAAATATGACATATGGGCTTTCGCCCTGGTTTACCATCACCTCAGTATGAGACAATACACACAGACCTAAAACCATTTAAAATGACACCAGAACCGTTCTAAATGTATGTGCAGCAGGGAAAATGGCTACAAGAGTCTAGTGTCCCTGTAGCACAAACACACACGTGAACACTTCCCTGGGGAGGTGTATCCAAAAATTATGCCATAGGCATACCATGATAGAGGATAAAGGGATTAAGCAGTAACCATGTAGGCAAATCCCAATCAAGAAATCCAAAAATTATACTATAGATATGTATGTCACATGTATACAATAAAGCAAGCACAATATGCGTCAAAAAGGAGAATAGCAGGCCTCAGGCCTGTATGAAGAAAGACATAAATGTCAAATATATTATACAATACATTCCTGTGCCGGCACAAGTGGTTGGGGCCCATTCATCGGTAATATAGATAGCTGTATCCTAGAACTCTTGGATGGAAATATACCCCATTTATTTCCAGGATGGAGGAAAAGATGCACAAAGCAGCGCTCTGCTTGAAGTGGTTTCTTCACCACTGTGTGTGGACTATACACCACTTTTGTAGGAAAAAACAAGACACATCCCAAAGACTCTTCTGCCTGTTGAGATATATATGGTGGTATATCTTGTATCCTATACAACGCACCATGATGTCCCCATCCTGTAGTGAAACAAACAATGTGTGGGAAGTCACTGACAGAGCTAACACTCTATAGAAGATGTATAGGTCATATAGATCACAGAGGACCATATATCTAATGTCCTGCAACAATCCACTCACCACCTGTGCTATGGATAACAGGGATGAAAGAGAAGTCCTTCATAGGTACTGCCATACAGGGCCAAGGCGGCCAAGGAACCACTGCTGACATCCGCCGATATACCGCGGGTTCCAGCCCCTTCTTGGCGCTTGTGCTGCTTAAGCTTGCCTCATGGCATGTGAAGATGGCTTCCTCCTCATGGGTCAGCGTGCGTTCCACCTAGTGCGCATGACCGGAAGTGACGTATCTGACGTATGACGTCAACGCGTTTCGCCGATGGGCGTATCTCACTCAGCTTCGTCAGGACCAATGAAACAACCGCATTCCAATTTTCTATTTATAGTGGGTAAAGACCCACCCATTTATGCAAAAAACCCAACTGCAGTTATTCCTAATGGAAAAAGAGAGGGCTAAATACTTAGCACAGCTGCTGGTCATTGTTAAATATAATTAAAAAGACAGACATCTGGAGACAACAAAGGAGGGAGAGGCTTTAGCAATTTGGACGGTGCATATATTGATCAAAGAGACCAAAACTAAATATATTAGTCAACTAAAGCACCCATCACACTCTAACCAGAAGATGGCGATATTAATCAGAGAATCAACAAGTCTATCCACTGAGTCTAATTGTCAAAAAAAAACCCATATAAATTACCATAACATACCACAAGATGGCAATATGACCTGAAGATTCTCATTGAGGGTTATTTCTACAAAAATACCCCAGTTTTTTTAAAAAAAATCCATCCTATGGTATGATTATTATTAAAGAAAGTAGGTACATAGGAAAAAATTAACTCAGCATTCAATCCTAATACATTTTGTTTAAAGCTATATTTAACCTAATAGCTTAAAATCATCCATATTATTTTAATTGTTTCGTATACATATATACTTTTTAAGGATTAAGTGACATAAAGTCCACCTATTTGTGAAAACAACAAATTCCACAGATTAACCACCACCTGGCAATAATGAGGTACATGGCTATAACTATTTTTCCAAAAATACTTGGAGATCACATTCCACATTTAACCCCTTAGGGTGCAATGTATCAAGTTTATATATCCAATATTTTTCCTTTTTAAGCAGTTCTCTGTCAAAATCACCTCTCCTCTGTGGAAAGCGCAGTGCATAGAAACCTTTCACTTTCGTACCATCCAACTTACCTCCATGATATTTAACATAATGTTGGGCAAGATTACTATCAGGTTCATTTGATCTAATGTCTCTAAGATGTTCACCTATTCGTACTTTAAGTTGTCTTTTGGTCTTACCTACATACAACTTTTTGCAGGGACAGGTTAAGATGTATAATACTCTCACTGTAGAGCAATTTATGAGACTCTGAATTTTATAGTGAGTATTGTTTCCTGAATCATGAAAGGAATCCGTACGATCCACGTATTTGCAAATTTGACATTTTCCACATTTAAACATCCCTTTGGTACGTGATTTTAACCATGTTGTTTGTTTTAATGGTTGATAATCTGAATGAATAAGGAGATCACCAAGATTTGGTGCTCTTCTTGCTACCATCTGGGGGCGTTCGCCTACAATCTTACTCAATCTGGGGCATTGAGTTAAAATCTTCCAATGTTTTTCTAATATCAATTTTACATCTTGCCATTGGGCTCCAAATTGGGTTATCATTCTAACAGGTTGATCACTCAACTTGGCCTTCACCTCCTTTTTGGAAGATAGTAAATCCTCGCGGTCAGTTTGATATGCCCGTCTCCGAGCATTTCTAATTTGGGAATGGGAATATCCTCTTTCCCTAAATCTTCTATAGAGATCCTGAGCCTCCATCCTAAAATCATGGATGTTTGAACAATT